CTCTCCCCACCCCCCCCGCCCTTCTTAATTTCCATACACCTTGCGCGAACAGATTGATAGATATATTGCCAACCTGCATGAAGCTCCTCCACGTGTACGAGACTTGCCTACCTACCTTCAAGCAGAACCACCTCCGGGTCTGGAAAGCTATTTAACTGCCGATCTGATATACTCGTCACATAGGTCTACACACCACCTACGGCAGAAGCAAAATACGGAATTATCCCCCGCAACAGGATCGTACATGACCGCATAATATTCATATCCAACCATCCTGCTACCGCGTAAGCAGTCCATCCCAAAGCCATCCTGTTAATGCCACGCAAGCACAGTCGGGTGCTTTGATTCTCTTCCCTTGCGGGATTGTAACGAGTCATTAAGCTACTCGCTCATTGACGCCATCAGAAAATCACATGTCATTCTTCGATCCTTCCCTTTCGATCATATCAATCACGATCACGAAGTTAATCAATCACGAAGTTAATCAATCACGAAGCTAATCAATCACGAAGTCAATCAATCACGATTTCCGGTTCATTCATCGTTATGGTAGAAAAGGCGACAGCCATACAGTCAAGACCAGAGGAAACATTGAAAACGCCGTCCAGTTGGACATTCAACATACACTATCCCACCCTCATCAACCACGCACGCACGTCTGAAACCATGAAAAACACAGATACATAATTTTTCTTTCTCTATTAGACAGACAGACACGCACGCACGCACGCACGTCTGTGACTTCTCCTTAATACAATCACCCCTTGAATTAGGTTGGAACAGATCACCGCAGCTCGGGCGAATTGTCTTCCCCACAGCAAAGAGGCCGAAAAAGGGTATCGCATCACACTGAAGCGCGCACGCATATAGAGGCTTCGGGGATCAAACGTGACGGGCTACAGGAAGGGGGAAGGTAGGGGGGGGAGGAACGCATGCAGTGAAGAGAAGAATTGAACACTCAAGCGCGTATACAAGTAGGGACAAGGATCATACAACGTGACACCGTGCGGTCCTATAGGAGCAGGTACGAGTAAGAAGGAAGGG